GCAGGGGACTCTCTTCCATGTCATTTCTACTCAGCAACATTGGCTGATGACATCTCCACCATCTGGACTGTAGGTGGTTGCTAAAGCTTGGGGGAGGGAAAATGGAGCAGTGTGCAACAGCTCCTACACATGTCCACCGTGAAGTGACCCACCCCACTTTCACTCTGGCCAAGCCAATTCACATAGTCACATGCAACCTAAAAGGAGCAAGAAATGAAACTTTCTCAAGTGAGGAGAATTACAGAACTAGAAATATTAGTGAGCTGCACGCACTAATATCTACCATAGTGTCATTATCCCTGATTTTAAAATCAAGAAACTACCTAATTATAGAATGGCAAAAAAATTTAAGACACCTCCTGATATCAAGTACTGACAAAGATACAGAACAACTGGAGCTCTCAGGTGTAGCTGGGGGGGATACAAAATGGTACAGATGCCCTGAAAAATAGCTTGGCAGCTTCATTTAAAGTGAAACATATACTTACCATATGGACCAGGATCTTGTTTATGAGTTTTTACCTCAGAGCACTGAGTCCTCACTGAAGTCAATTTTGCCCCCCAACATTTGGTAATGTGAGGAGACATTTTGGTTTTCACAACTGGCTCAGAGGTTCTTATGGGTACCTAATGGGTAGATCCAAGGATGCTGCCAAACATCCTGCAATGCACAGGACATTCCCCACAACAAAGGGTTATTCCACTTTAAATTCAAGGTGGAGACATTTTGCACTGAAGAAATAAAAACTGCCAGGTACCCTGACTCATGCCTGTAATCCCAGCACTCTGAGAGGCCAAGGCAGGAGGATCACTTGAGCTTAAGAGTTTGAGACCAGCCTGGGCAACACAGAGAGACCTCATCTCTACAAAAAAAAAAAAAAAGATGAAAAAAAGTAGCTGGGTGTGGTGGCATGCACCTGTAGTCCCAGCTACTCAAGAGGCTGAGGTGGTAGGATTGCTTGAGCCTGAGAGGTCCAGGCTGCAGTGAGCTGAGATCATGCCACTGTACTCCAGCCTGGGTGACAGGGTGAGACCTTGTTCCAAAAAAAAAAAAACAGAGAGAGAAGAAATAAAATTTTATCTTCACATAAAACCTATACATGAATGTTTATAGCTGCATTATCCATATCACTGAAAGCTGGAAACAACTCTCATGTCTTTCCATAGTTAAATAGATAAACCATGGTCCCCCATACAATAGAATACTACTCAGCAATAAAAAGAAATGAACTATTGATAAATGCAATATGAATCTCAAAGACATTGTGCTAAGTCAAGGAAACTGACTCCAAAAAGTTTCATGTTATTCCATTTATAGAACATTCTGGAAAAAAGAAATAGGAATAGATAACAATCAGTGGTTTCTGGGAGTAAGAAGTGTCAGAGAGTAGTGAAGGGGAGTTGAGTTAAAAGGAACTACTTGAGGGAAATGTTGGGGATGTTGGAATTGTTCTGTATTCTGATTTTGGCAGTGGCTACACGAATCCACGTGTACTAAAACTCGTTGAACTATATACCCCACCCCCCCAAAAAAAAATAAATTTCAGTAATATAAATAAATTTTTAAGTTGAAAAAATTAAAAATAAGTAAAAACACAAAAGAACAGGGCTGAGAGACTTGTCTGTGTCCCAGAGATTGGGGTGCAGAATAAAGAATAGAACCCAGATTAGAATGACTGCAGAGACAGTCTTCTTCCCCATTGCATAAAGCTGCCTCCACACAAAGAAGGACTGTGAGCTGTAAACAGAGCTTAAATGACTTTTAAGTTCAAAAGTATTTGTTGTTCCATTGTGTTGACTCTTGAAAGTGTTAAGTGTATTATGGTGACTTGGTAACCTTGTAATAATACCATGGTTCTCCATCAGTCTAAGAACACAGATCTAGATCCAGGTCAAAACTACATTTCTAGGCTGGGCACAGTGGCTCATACTCTTAATCCTAGCACTTTGGAAGGCCAGGATGGGAGGATTGCTGGAGCCCAGGAGTTCAAGACTAACTTGGGCAATATAAGGAATAGAAGCTCTCCTGGTTCCTGGCAAATATAGGGAGACCCCATCTCTAAAAAACATTTGGAAGTTAGCTGGAAGTGGTGGCTTACAACTGTAGTCCCAGCTACTTGGGAGGCTGAGGTGGGAGTATGGCTTGAGCCCAGGAGGTCAAGCCTGCAGTGAACCATGATCACACCACTCCAACCTGGGCAACAAAGAAAGACCCTAAGAAAAAAAGAAAAGAAAAGAAAAACAGAAGACAACAACTACCTTCCTTACTCACTACCCCTCACCCTACCCTATACAGGATGCCCAAGGGTAAGCATGGAGACATATCAACTGGAGGAAAGACCCAGTTTAAGTTGCAATAGCCTTGGGTAAAACCGACACTCTATAGGAGCAATAGAAGCAGATGCTGAATTTGGTGTTAGAGTTATTTCAACTCAAATCTACACTTCATTTTTCCAGACCTTCATTTTGTAATAATCTTGCAATGGTTAATTCCAATAGTGAGCCATTGCTTGAGGTATCAGAAACAAAACCAGGAAGAGCTGAGTATCAATGTTTTCAGTACATTTTACATGTGGAACAAGGTTAATGTAATAGACCACGTTAATAATGAGGTCACCTGGTGCTCTCTCATATGGCTTTCCTGGTGCATGTGGTCAGAGGCTTTTCTAATCAGCTCTGCCCACCTCCTGACATTTTAATCACTCAAACAATTACTATTGCCTGGGAAACAAATTTGAAAATGAATAAAAGAGCAGATAAAGGGAAGCTGAGTTTTCAATTTTGTTTTTGTTTTTTTAATAATTACTCCAAGAGTAGATGCTCAGATGAGAAATTTTTTAATGGAATTAATAAGATGATGTTAGGGGTTAGACACAACCTCCACTAAGAATGGACATAAATGAACCCAAACCTGATTCTTAAATCTCAAGGAAAATACACCACATAGTCCTGGCCATGAAAGCCACAGTCTTGTAATATTGTTTGGTATCCTTCAAGTATTTCTATGTACAAAAATGGACTTAGAGCATTGGTCTAGATTCTTCAGGAAACAAATGTATACATTTCCCCTACACTCTACACAGAAAGTTCATAAAACAAACCATGCTGATTACAAGCCATAGTTAACTGGATCTTTTTCTTTCATTGAGAAAGGAGGGTTGGCAAGTCTGGGAAGAAAAGGAACTCAAATTTATTAAGAACACACAACAGTAGCCAGGCACAATAATAAGTGTTGCAAGTGCAGTGCACTATCCTATGTGCCTGTGTAATCCTCCCAAACACTGCTTATCAATCAGGGTTTAGTTGCAGAGCACAAACACGTTTTTGGTCGTTTTAGGCAGTGAACTGTATATTTACATCATTGAGAGAGCTGAAGAAAAACACTAGGCTGGACACTCAGCAGTGACTCCCAGAACAGCACTGTGAAAACCAGGAGAGTTGCTTCTACTGTCACAGTCAAAAGGAGTGGAACCAAAGGCCCACCCCATCCAGCACAATTGACTCTCGGCACCCCCATGGCCATCATGGACACTAGAATTGTGCTGCAGTGAAGCCCAGCATCTCCACAGCCATGCTTGCCAATAAAGCCAAAAAGCAAAAAAATGGCCTCTCTCTTATATCTGCATTTCAAACAAGTACATCGCATTGGTGGAACCTAATTCTCTTATGAATGCTAACTCCAAGAGAGTGTGGGAAATGTAGTTTTTAGCCTCCCAGGTTCTGTAATACTGAGATCAGGATGATAGAACGATTGCTGAGTGCCAACTACCTAATACACTGCACCCTGTGAAGGAGTTTATGTTTTTCCAATTCTTTTTTTTTTTTTTTTTTAAACAAAGAAAAGAGGTTTCTTTGGCTCACGGTTCTGCAGTCTGTACAAGGTGTGGTGCCGGCATCTGCTCTTGGGGAGGGCCTCAGGAAGCTTACAATCACGGCAGAAGGGGAAGCATAGCCAGCATGTCACATGGCAAGAGAGTGAGCAAGAGACAGACGGGAGAAAATTCACACACTGATGGGGGGAATGTGAGATGGTACAACCACTTTGGAAAATAGTTTGGCAACTTCTCAAAGGATTAAACATAAAATTACCACAGGATTCAGCAGTTCCACTTGTGGGTGTATAGCCAAGAGAAGTGAAAACATATCTCCCCACAAAAAACTTGGGAATGAGTTTTCACGGTGTCATTACTCATAATAGCTGATAATTAAAACCAATCCAAATGTCCATCAATGAATGAAGCATAAGAAAATGTGGCATATTCATACAACAGACTATTATTCGGCCATTAAAAAAAAAAAAAAAAAAAAAAAAGAGTGGCTCACACCTTTAATCTCAGCACTTTGAGAGGTCAAGGCAGGAGGACTGATTGAAGACAGGAGTTCCAGACCAGTCTGGGCAACAGTAGTAGAGACAGGGTTTCACTGTGTTAGTCAAGTGGTCTTAATCTCCTGACCTTATGGTCTGCCCGCCTCAGCCTCCCAGAAGTGCTGGGATTACTGGCGTGAGCACTGCACCTGGCCCAGAGCTTTTTTTTTTTTTTTTGAGACGGAGTCTCGCTCTGTCGCCCGGGCTGGATGCAGTGGCCGGATCTCAGCTCACTGCAAGCTCCGCCTCCTGGGTTTAGGCCATTCTTCTCTGTCTCAGCCATCCTTGAGTAGCTGGACTACCAGGTGCCCGCCATCCGTGTCCTGGCTAGTTTTTTTTTATAAATTTTAGGTATTGGACGGGTTTCACGTGTTTAGCTCAGGGATCGGTCTTCGGTCTCCTGGACCTCGTGATTCCACCTGTCGTCGGCCTCCTTAAAGTTGCTGGGTATTACGGCTTGAGCCACTGTCAGCCGGCCCCAGAGGTTTATTGCTTATAGGAGGTCAGTGCCCATCACATTCCCTGTCTACAGGACAAATAAACAGCTGCTCTCTCTAGAGGGCGCAGCAGTCCTGCATGGTCCAGTGAGACCCAGAAGGTTCCAGAGAGGCCTTCAGTTTGAGTTCCCTTTCAGTCATCGCTCTTCTGAGTCTGACTCTTTCTGCGGACCTCGGAATGCGCTCTCCGGCAAGTCGTCTCCCATCTGCTGGAACCTTCCCGACTGTGAATCCCACATGTATTTGATGGTCACCTTGAATTCAGCCATCTCATCCCCAAAACGCTTCAGGACGCGAGCCTACTCTGGGGTCAGCACATCGCCCTCCTTGCACACCTCAAAGTCGGATAGCAGAGTCACCACACCTCTCTTGAGGGTGGTGGGCAGGCCCAGCTGCCTGAGCTGTGGCTCCATGGAGTGGGGAAACTGCTCCAGGGGCCCCGGGTCCAGGCTCACAGTGAATGCTGCTTTGTTACCAGCGCGGGCGTAGTCCATTTCTGTGTATTTTGTGAACCACTCATTCACTTCCTCCTTTGTGCGGTTGGTGAACAGGAGACCCACTTCACCCCTCAACCTTTTGCTGACCTGGTGCAGGTTGTCTTTGTACTCATCAGATGGGCTCCAACCCAAGGCCACCATCATCACCTTGTTTTTGCCAAAGAACATCCGGCTGTGCTTCCAGGCGTTCCGGATGTCCTTCAGCTTGCTGTTCCTCATGTTGGCCACAGAGAAGATGAAAAGGTACTTGTAGGTGTCCACACATTTCCGAAGCTCTTCTATCAGGTTTTGTTTCAACTCCAAGCCTTTCTTGGCAGTTTTGGTTAAGGAGACTTTCTTGTCACGCTTGGATTTGGGCATCGCGCTGAATCCACATGCGGCGGAAGACGGTGCACCCCGTTCCCAATTCTTTATAAGAAAAATATCGAGGCTCAGAGAAGTGAAATAAGTTTAACAAGATGGTACAAACTGAAAAGTAGCAGTGCCAGCATTTGAACCTAGTTGTCTATCCTCATTGTCATCATCTATTGGGTACTTACTCTGTTCTGTACATTGCTCTAAGTACCTTCAAATATTATTTTATTTAATCTTTACTGTAACTCTGTTACATAAGTATTATGGTCCCCACTTTGCAGGTGAGGAAAAAAAAAAACAACGCAGAGACTTAAATAACTTTCTTCAAATCCCAGTTAGTAAAGATTAGAGGCAGCACACTTAGAAACTAAACTCCAGCACTTCTTTTCCTACAGCACATTGAACTCTTGACAGTGGGTGTTTGATCAGCACCATTGTTGATATATATCTCTCAACACTCTTCGAGACACCAACATTCCATGCACTTGGAGTAAGATGGTAATCCTCTGAAAATCACTTAGGTGCTTTTGGCTAACTGGTGTGAAAAGTTTGAGGGCTCTTTAGAGCTAAATACTTGGTGCAGTGCTGGCAAGAATCTAACAATAAGCTCCCTGAAAATAAGAGTCCTACTTTGTAGCCTTTACCAGTCTCTGTGACATAAATACTCCAACCATGGCCAATTTCAAGCTACCAGTATGGTATCAACCAGTTTGCAAAATTCCTGAAAATTTAACAATTGGCTCTTGCAAGCTAGTATGAGCCAGCTCCAGATGGCTCTGTAAATGGTTTCTATTTGCTCAGGGTCTAGGATACCCTTACAAGGAAACTTGAATCCTTTCTACATTTGGAGTTCTGACATGTATTAAGATGTCTAAACACCGGAAATCTCTTGACAGAAGGCAGACAGCAGAGAGAGACAAAGAGGTCTCTGAAGGGGGAAGAACACCGTAGGTTTGTCATAAATCTGGTGGGATGGGCTTGATAATTTCTGAAGAAACAATGGTTTGGGGTGCTACTCTTGAACTTGCTTGGTCTCTGACCCCTGTGTTAACTATGAGCCCTAGAAAGGAGAGACAAACTTTTAGTGATTCAAGACACTTTGCTGGGGGAGGCCTTTATCACAGGTAGGTGAGTAATAAAGCTGAAAAAACACCATGACTAAGGTTCCAAGTCATTCTGTGGAATAACTCCTATTCTTTGTGCTATCAAAAGAAGGGAAAGGTATTTCCATTCTAACCAGAGACTTACAGGAGCACCAGCACTGCAGAAATTCTCCATAGAAAAGACCAAGTGTAGCTACTGCCTTTCTGCTGTCTTTAATGTGCTGTTTCTTACCTGGGTATGCTTTTCCCATTTCTTTACCAATAAAAAAATCCTATTTCTCAGTCAAAATTTAAATGCCATCTTGTATAAGACACTGGGACCCTTTCCCAAAATCTCTACAGTTGGGGTTAGTAATTCTTTCCTTTGTTTATATTATCTTTTAAGGTACATATTTCATTCTTGTTGGTATTAGCATTAATTGCCTACACATGAGTCTCTGAGGGTACATGATGAACTCTCAAGGTAATGGTGGTAGCTCATTTGTGTCTGTGGTTCTGTTCTCTGGTACATAGAAAAGGGCTGTTGCATACGCATGCTCAGTAAGTAATGCTGACGTTGCTTCTATAGCAGGCAGAGAAGCAACTGGTATTAGATTAGAGTGCACTCAAAAAAAAAAAAGAGGTTAAAGAAGAAGGAAGGGCTGGCATGGTGGCTCACGCCTGTAATCCCAGCACTTTGGGAGACTGAGGCAGGTGGATCACCTGAGGTCAGGAGTTCAAGGCCAGCCTGACAAACATAACAAAACCCCATCTCAACTAAAAATACAAAAATTAGCCAGGTGTGTCTGGGCACGATGGCTCATGCCTGTAACCCCAACATTTTGGGAGGCTGAGGCAGGTGGATCACCTGAGGTCAGGAGATCATGACCAGTTTGGCCAACATGGTGAAACCTCATCTCTACTAAAACAAAACAAAACAAAAATTAGCCAGGTGTGGTGGCGGGCACCTGTAATCCCAGCTCTTCGGGAGGCTGAGGCAGGAGAATCGCTTGAACCCGGGAGGCGCAGGTTGCAGTGAGCTGAGATCATGCCATTGCACTCCAGCCTGGGCAACAAGAGCGAAACTCCAACTCAAATAAATAAATAAGCCGGGCATGGTTGGGCACACCTGTAGTCCCAGCTGCTCAGGAGGCTGAGACAGAAGAATTGCTTGAAGCCAGGAGGCGGAGGTTGCAGTGAGCCAAGATCGTGCCACTCCACTCCACCCTGGGTGACAAAGCAAGACTCTGTCTCAAAAAAAAAAAAAAAAAAAGGAAGTAAGGAAGAAAGTAAAGAAGGAAGGAGGAGTGGAAAAAGAAAAGAAATCTCTACCATTCAATGTTTTGTCTAAAGGGTGAGGGTACATTTTTCCCCATTATCTGATATTAAAAACAGGTTTTTAGGGAAAAGCAAAGAATCTCTTTAGAATATCTTAGAGCTAGCTGCCTGAGTCATGGCATAAGAATAATCCCCCCACCCCCTCTATTTCTTATTTGTGATTCATCCTTTCTAGGAATACACATGTTCCCCACAAGAAGTGTTTACCAGTGAAGTTATCCTTGGCAAAGCCATTGATCAGAGGGCAATTCAGTCCATGTGCCAATGCTTCCTTGATGGCGGTTGCTTCCACGAAGCAAACACCTTATTCACTTTGTTTTCTCTAGCATGTCAATAAGTGCTCATATATAATAAATGTGTGCTCACAGCATATGTAATATATATGGATGTATGTGGTGTTTTGTATTCCACGCCTGAAAGAACAGCTGATTTATTTCATAGCTTTTATGGACTGTTTTATTATTCTCAACAACATCACATCCATTCTCTTTGCATGCATATTTTATAGCACCTTGATGGACTTATTTGATTTGACCCAGTGTTTTGATGACAGCACAGCCATAGGAGGTTCACATTAGCTTACACAAATCATTTGCTCAAGTCACTTTAGAGTGTGATCCTGCCCTCAGGTGATTTGTGGACTGCCAGCTCTTTCATGATGGGCAAAATAGCATAGCATGCCCTATAAAGCTGTGGCTCAAGAAAAGCTCTTGGTGATTCTTGGATCAGCAGGGCAATCTCCTAGGAGGGTCAGTTAACTGTATAAGTACAGTCAGTCATTGACAGAATTCTATCACTGGCTTTGATTCAATGTGATTCTTCTGGCTGCCAACGTCCTTATAGGGAGAGGCTAAGACAGAGCATCATAACTGTATGTCAGATTCTTGAATCCTAAAAGTTCATGCAGGGATAGATTGGTCTTGGTAAATACTAATTAAAGAGTGGTTTAGGCAGGAAGGTCTGAGGATTGGCTGCGATGACTTGGACAAGCACTAAAACTTGAGAAGCCCTGCTTTAAGAAGCTCATGATCTTGCCAGGGATGTTAACATAGGCTCTAATAGACATCTTTATACAGTGCTTTAGGAGCACAAAGAATGTAGTAAGAAACTCCATTTTGGGTAGTTGAGGCCAGTCTTCCCAAAAATTGACATTCATCCTTTGATTTTTTTCCTACTCGGGCAGACAAACTGCTTTTTTATATCATTATTTTTTGTAGAGACAGGGGGTTTGCTCTATTGCCCAGGCTAGTATCAAGCTCCTGACCTCAAGTGATCCTCTCCCCTCAGCCTCCCAAAGTTCTGGGATCACAAGCATGAGCCACTATACCCAGCCTAAACGACCTTCACTCCGAGTCTCATAATGAGTCAAAATGGCTCTGTCCAGGGTTCTGAAACTTGCCTCATAAATGTCCTTCATGTAAAATCAGTTCAAGGATCTGACAGGGAGTCTCCTGTTAAGTTTACTGCTGTGTTTTATATTGTTTCTTGGTGATCCCATATTAAACATACCTGGGAGGCCACAAGAGTAAACTTTCACATCAGAAAACTGAGTCTAGAAGAGGCCTAGCAACTCAGCCCCCAGCACAAAGCGAGTTGATGTCAGGACCAAGAAGACCAGCTCTTAGGCTTTCTGACCTTAAAGCAGCTACTATTTCCATGACATTGGGGTCTTTTCCTGGTCCATTTGAAATGGTTTGTGATTGGATCTGTGGCCATAAGTTAGTGTTCAAGGCTGAAATTTTCATAACATCAACAGAGATGAACTTCTTAATCTTATTAATATTTTCTTCTTGTCTGTGTAGCCTTAATTTGTGGCAGTAGTCCTTTTTCTATTGGAGTTTGACTTTAACTTTTCCCCTTGATAATTTGTATATAAAAATTATTATGAGCATCAAAATCTTTATATACCAGTATATTCTGAATGGCATTAGAGGTGTATAAATCTTTTTTAAAGTAATATGTTTCCATCAAAAGTAATTAGCATAACTTAAATTAGACATTATCTTGACTTTCCATTTTTTAATACTTGTGTGTACATGTAACCTTTTATAACATCCTTTGTAAAAAACAAAAAAAAAAAAAACTTTTGGCTTCAGGGCTAACTTGGAATTTCTTTCTTAAAAGATTTGAGAATGATCGTGAGTGTTCTATATCAACACTCTTGGGCAAGAATCGAGGACAGCTGGTGACCGTAAACACTGAGTGGTGTCCAACTGAGCTACCCAAAAGTGTTATTTGTAAAGGAAGGTCATAAGGCCAAGCAGGAGATGTCAGAATATCAGGTGGTTAGTCTGAGCAGTGCTGGACTAGGAAGAGAAAAAACAGGAATCAAATCTTTCAGCTAGAGATGCAGCTAAATCAAGGCCACAACTCTGTGGAATTTATTAAAAGGGAGGCCAGAAGATCAGGAGACATATCAACAAAAGTCAGGCAGAGATTGGGCAGGGTTCATAGTGTAAAATAAGGTCAGTTCAGGGATAAATCTTGTAATTTTAACCACTGAGTGCCTTTTACTGGGAACTTGACACCCTCATACTGGGTAAGGCAGGAGACAGCATGCTTAAAGCAGTAAGCACCTTCTGAGCAATAGGTCAGTTTCTCTCAGAAGCCGTACCACAAGCATGCATTTATAACCCATGGCAGTAAAAATAATTTGAGCATTATGAGAAGGAGTGGAATAGATTCTGGTGCTTTGTGTAAAAACCTTTAAATTCCCATTTCATTAAAAATTCTTCTCTGCAGCTGGTAGCAGAGATTACCATGGTTCACCATCTGTGCGGATTAATGTTTGCTTAAAAAGAGAGAGGGAGAGTGAGCAGCAGATAAGATGAATGATTTCCAGATACAAGAGAAAGCCAAAGTAGAATATCTTTGTGTGTGTCTGTGTGTGTGTGTGTGTGTGTGTATGTGTCTTACACCTGCTTTATTTGAATTCTGTGATAGAATTGTTTAAAGAAAACCCAGGTTTATTTATTTTTAAAGACTGAATAATGCAGAAACAGTCAATCATCATCAAACTGTTTAGATTTACATTTTATACAGAATTCGTTTTGAGAGGATTTTAGAATCTGTTAGAAATAATTTGGCATGTTTAGAAATTTCTTTTTACATTTCCCATTCTGGGAAGATTTTTCCTGATACTTACAGATTGAGTTCATGAGGCAGAACCCCAGATTCTATCCTGAGGGGACCAGATTACCAATTCCCTCTAGGTCTGAATCTAATCAATTACAGACACGCATCTCATCCGTAGACTGAATAAGCTTCAGTAGATCACTGAAGTGGCCTTCCAGGAACTGGAATTGCTGGTGAACTATGAAAACAATAGAGGTAGTTTTTTGCTTGGGGTCGGTTGGTTGGTTTGTCTGTTTGTTTTAGCACTGGCTGTGTGACAAGTGCAGTCTGTGCTTTACCTGCAACGTCTCTTTAATTCTCACAACCACCTAGAGAATAAACACGGTGAGTATCTCTTCTCATTATAGAGGAGACTGAGACTTAGAGAATTTAAAGAACTTGCTGCACTTCAAAGCTAATACATGTTAAAACAGATATTTGAATTCAGATCTGTCTTCCTCGAAAGACCATGCTCTTAACCATTACACTCTACAGTCTCATTCAATAGTTAGGTTATTTCCAATTCTATTTAGGCAGTTTTAGACCCCATCTTAATATTGAGAATCTCATTTCCTTGAAAATAATGCTTTTTCCTTTCAATATGCCACGAGTCACCATTACCAGAGCAGAAAGCATCTTACTTACTGCAATTACACTTGCTAATCAATTCTGCATCACTGCCCAGTGTTATAAATGTGTAGTTACCTATATTCTATTGACATGTGGCCTCATTTCTTACTGAAAAGGGCAGTAGTCTTAATTTAGAGACACTTTTTTAAAATAGCACAGGGGAGCCAAGGAAATATGTCAATCTCATTGCCAATAAACAGAAATAAACCATTGTGGTCATTCCTCATACCTGGGATCCATCAGCTCAGTGTGATCCAGGTACTTCTGAGTCTTAACTTCTGAATTAAGGGGACTATTCTGAGAAACTGTTCTTCTTATCATTATTTTCAAATTTCCCTTTAAATTTTATATTGATAATTATCTAACTTGCATTAAAATATTCAGTATTATTTTATAGGGTTTAAAAACCACTATATGGAGCTACATTTCTGCTAAGCTTTACAAAATGAAACATCATAAACCATGTGACTATGTTAGAAGAAATCAGGATTGATTCAGTGGTTGACTAGCCAACCACCCTAAAAGCGGTATAATGGAAGGTGAGGAAGCCCTGTCACT